GTGTCCCTCTTCATAACCCTTAATTTTCAGGTCATGGCAAGTGTCCCTTTATCTTTTTTTTCTTATGTATTTTGGGCTTAAATTGGGTTTAAACTCTCTTGGTAAGAGAGACCATGGGCTGCACGAATTTTCTAGGCTTCCTTGGCCCAAAATTGGCCCAAAATGATTGGAAAGGGAAAGGAAGTGTGACCTAATTACAAATTATCAATTTCTAACCAAAGCTCACTATATCAGTTACTATTTCAAAATTCTCTTTTAATATAAAAAGGTCTCATGAATTTTTTTGGAATTTATTTTCACTTCTAACCTCCTGTATTGAATTTTTTCCAAAATCGAGTCTTACTGATAAAGTTTCATCATAAAATATCCAAAAATAATTCTCTTCACATCCTAAGGCCCAAGATAATTTTTAAATCCATAATAATATGCTAAATAATATTTTCATATTTTTTCTAAAATTATTGAGGCCTCCATTTTTTTTTTTGAAAAATTCTGTTTACAGAAAATTCTGTAATAAATTATTTTTATACTATTTCCAATTCTAGAGCTTCAAATAGGGTTCCAAAACCTCTAATTTATCTTTTTATCATTTTTCAAGAATTTTCTGAAATTTTTCTGAAATTTTTTATTTTTCCCTTCCTAGACCAATAATTTCAAAAATATCAATTTGGACCCTATCTGAATTTTATGTCATGCATGGCTTCATCAGCTAGTCTACTTTTTCTATTGGTCCATGACTTAATTTTTTATTCCCATTATCAGGGTTAAATTTTACAGGATGTAACAGTGATGACATGAATCTCACAATCATCACTATAAAATTAATGCAACACAATGTTACACCACTAAACATCAAATTGCCACAATCAATTTGTAAATATGCTAATTTTTGTTGTAAATTCTCTAATTCCACTTAAAGCTTTAATGCAATAATAGTATATACAATTGAGTTCAGGAAAATTTTCTTGCGATAAAAGAGCATCAATGATTACTATACTTTCAGAACATCTCAAACCATAACATATAATATTTTATACTAAAGACATTAGTTTATAGTACCAGCAGTATTCGCAGAAGTTTTACATATTTAGAAAAGAAAAAGCAATAAGTTATTCCACCTATTGAATTCCAACAAATCAAAACAAGGAAATTTCTTTTCTTTCGCAACCTCAACTTACAACGCGTATGGATCCTTGTGACATTAAAAACAAAAAAAAAGTTACAATCCACAACTAAAAATAAATAAATAAATAAACTTGCAGTATGAAGAGCGAACATTGATTTGTGATTACAAATAAACTGAGCCTACACAAAAATGTTTATGCTATGAATGAATAATGATCAATTTGGCAAGCGAAAAAAGTGGATGACAGACGAAACAATCTTCAAAATTATATAATTAATTAACAATTACCATTTTTTCGCAAACTCTACAACCCAAATACAATTCGTGATAGGAATTGAAAATGCGCAAAAGAAGCAACTTATTTTCAACACTCAGTGGCGTGAATTTGAACTCAATCCTCTTAATAATTTTTGTCAAATCAGAGTAGTAAAAAAAAATTCCTAAGTGGTTTAGAACTCCACGACAGCCCAAATCATACTCGTAAAGTCTACAATACAACAAATAGAGAAGGATTTTGTAATGATGTATGGAGAACCTTTCGAATTTAAAGGCAGTGAAAGATATTGCATACGAAAAGAGAGACACCATGGCGACAGCAAAGCCTCTCGTTTAAGACGTGCGAGACAATAGTAAAGGCTTTTCTTACCAGAACGGCGGCAATGGTGAAGGCTCTCAACAGTGACGATGGGTGAAGCCTCTCATTAAACACTTCTAGGGGAGGTTTCAAAGAGTGAGAAAGGGAAGAGGTCGGCATTTTTCAAAGTGAAAGAGGGAGCTAATAATTTTTGCACTTTTTTTTAAAAAAAAATTCTAGGGGAACAATTTTGAGGGGCAACAATATCTTTTCCATATCCAAATTAATTTCATTTTCCTCCTTTAGTCCTGCAATGAAATTTTAAAATTATAAAAGGGTTTTTGGAAATTAATTGGTTACAGTGATCTTTAAGTGAAACTCTCCCTAAATTAATTACCAATAGTTAATTGTAACCCGATGTTGACATGTTTCCATGCGTGCATGCATTTAATTGTATAATATAAAAAAGACTACTATTTCCGATTCTAAATATAAAAGATAATTTTTAGTGCAAATTTAGGACTATAGGTAGCAAGAAATTATCATGAATTAAAGGTTAAAATGTTTGATTTGATTTGATTTGATTTGAAGAATGCAGGGAGGATACAGAATTTCATTCTCGAAACATGATTCTGTTAACCCCTGAGGTTGTGAACAACATACACAAACGTGGTGGAACCATCCTAGGCACTTCACGTGGAGGCAACGAAACCTCCAAGATTGCTGACAGTATTCACGATCGAGGAATTAATTAGGTTCATCCGGAAAAAAAAATGCAACCCAGGGCACATGGTTCTAAACCTCCCAGCAAATTCAAAACTCATCCTTTTTTTCAAAGAAAATTACAATCACACAAACCTATTTACTTGAATAATAATGCTGCCTCTCTTCAACTTTACATCATTGGAGGAGATGGTCAGAAAGGGGACACTCTGATATTTGAGGTAATAATGCATCACTTAATTGGTTTTGAAATAAACATGTTATATTTACTCAGAAATGTGGCTTGAAAATTGCAGTGATGGGAATCCCAAAAACTATTGATAATGATATCCCGATAAGCATGCTTCAATCAAACAAAGCTGTTTTGCTGTGATATATTATTATATTTGTATGGGTATGTTAATTGTTATTTTGCGTTATAGACGAGTTATTTGGTTTTGATACTACCGTTGAGGAGGCACAACGTAGCTGTTAATGCTGCTCATGTGGAAGCAGAAAGCTCTGAGAATGGCATTGGTGCTGTCAAGTCAATGAGATGTTACAGTCGGGTAGTGTTCTCTGGTTATCTCAAAAAATTAAGGTACATCCTCTTAAATCATGCTCCCAAAGTTGTCACATGTTATTATTAGCATATAATGGAGACTTAGTAATATGGGATACCAAGTCTCATATTAAGTAATATGAAATAGTCAACGAGATATTTAAGTCTAAGTTGGTTCTCCAACCTCAACATGTAGCTTATGGAATGGGATTCCCCATTCCTATCAGCATCACATAATTGTTAAGTCATCATTTTACCTCACTTCCTTTAGGAATATTTACTCCCAAAACACAAAAAGTTAATGCAACTCTTATGTTTTTAGGATCATTTAAAAAAAAAAAAGTCTAAAAATGACAATGACTCTAAAGTACATTCGTTAGCTCTGTGCAATTAGTAGCAAATGACTATTTTATGTGGAAAAAATGCTTTAAGTAGTCAATTTGGCAGATCCTGCATACATGATCTGTGTTGTTCCAAGCAATCCATCTGATAAGATATACTGTACCCTCCTTGCTCACTAGTCACGAGAATACACAGGCTTCACAATTGGCCCTTTTAATGGGAGACATGCTTATATTCCATTCCATGTAAGTTTTTTTTTTTCCATCATTCAAATTTTTATATCATGCTCAAGTTCATCCTTGGATTTTGATCAAAACTGAATTTTTTTTCCTCGGATTTCGTATCAGTATTTCAATTTCCCTGTAAGTTGTGTTTGGCTATTTGCAGAGGATAACGAAAGGACAAAAGAGGATTGTGATAACTGACTGGATATGGACAAGGACCTAGTAACATCAATGGAGAAATAGAAGAAGGAACAGAAAACCAAACACCTAATGGTAAGAACCATACATAAAACATTGCGGCCAAACCTACTGAATGGTACTTTTTTTTTTTTTTTAAAGGGTGATAATAGCATTTGTTTATGTTTCATTTTTGCAACATTATCTAAGAAATGGAATTCAACTATAAGTTTTGTAAGGAAGAACCATACAGATTGTATCGAAACAGGAGAACCATACAGAAATCACTGTTTATAATAGGTGCCTATCTTTCAAAAATTTGCATGCTTTTAGAAATCATATGCTAGTAGAGTATTACACACACACACACACACACAGTGCATTGCATTTACAACTAGTCTTGCACATTAAGAATTTGTAGTGACTTCATGCGGAAATAAGTGTTGGTGCTCATCACTTTTGATAAGAGTTCGAACTCCTTGGCCAAAAATAAAAAAATAAAAAAAATCCAAACTTATCAGATGTGAATGGCTTAGATTTATTTTTTTATTTTAATTTTTTAAATAATTATTTTAATGTTTATAGAATCTAAAATAAACATAATCTCTTAACTATTATTTTTTTAATTATGAGGCATTAAAAAAAAACTACAGGAAAAAAGGAATGTTATGAGGCATTATTTATAATTAGTCATAAGTCTTATTGACTGTTTGACTATCTATTTATGTTAAAATAAAATATAAAATAATTTTATCAACCTTTATGATTGTGACAATCCTAATTAAGAAAGACCTAATGCATTAGAAAAATGGGCTAGTTCAGTTTATTCATTTGTCCCCTACTTTTTAAGGCCCATGGGCTAAATGATACTTATGTAAGATATAGTTATGCCTAATGATACCCTCAATAGTCTTTGGACTTAGTGAAAGCCTTTTTGACCCTTTCAGTACCAGTGTTTGGGGGATCCACTCCCAATTGGACTTGGCAATGCAATTATCTGATCCAGTCAAATAAACATATCAGAAAATGCCTAATAATAAATCATATCAATCAGCAGAGACATTCCCAGAGTTTGGGAGAAATAAAAATAAAAATACCAATCGGAGTAAAACATTTAATGATGATACATAATATAGGAGGACGTTGGAAGACGATGGAATATTTGATGAACCTTTAACTCTGTTTTAGCAGAGCCAACCCAGTCATCTTTTCCAGCGGGAAGGAGATATGGCGGGCGAAGTGTAACTATTCTACGTACAGGCGGCAAAGCCGGTGGACACCCAGACATTACTATTACAGCCGTGGCTGTTGCAGCCTCAGCCCTTGTTGATTTACTTCGATGAATGTCTTTTGAAATATGTTAAAAACATATAACTCTCCACCATCACATGAAGAAGTTACCATCTCTGTCAACTTTCCTCTAGAGAATGGCAGTCTTATCCCTAGTCCCCTCAGCACCTTGGAAGCTTTCACCTCTGAAGACATATTAAATTCTGGGTTCAGTACGCCATTAACTTCCATTAGATCTACCTCAGGTTCATGATAAAATTCATATTTAAATGAATGTGGATAGTAGAAATGCATGGAGAAAGCACGCTTTTCTTCACGTTGCTTTTTATATGTGTGTCCAAGCTTATGCATTCTACCTAAAATGCCATTGCTATCAATTACTCCCATCTTGGCAGCAATGAAGGGAACAGTCACTTTGTATTCGTTCTCACCAAGCTCTTTTCTTAGTATGATTGGATTTGCTCCCTCTCTCTCTCTGTTGCGATATGCATTTGCTTTCTCGTGCCGTGCTCCTCTGAGGTATAGGGCATTTGTAAAGACGAGCTTGACTAAGTTGCTGAGAGACCCCTCATGAATAAGGTCTTTAATTAGGACACTTGCCTTATTTTCCACCCACGAATTAATTTGTCGCCCCACATGAGCAGCCTGCAAAAAATATATATAGCGATTTCATGAAGCACCTCATCAAGAGAACAAGTTGTTGTTCTTGATTCCCATAATTAATTTCTTCACATATAATTGGAATCGTTGTATTCTCTCAAACTCAAGCCTTAAGGCAAGAAACAGGGCACTCATACGACTTCACATTTGAAATTTACAAAGGGGAAGAATATAACCCGGTTGTGTGTGTATACATATCATGCATCAATTAATATAACGATTAATGAGATGATTTTTTTTAGGAGACAAAAAAAGAGGGGATAATTTGAAGTTCAAACTCAAAAGCAACATGCTTTTATTTTTCAAGTTCCGGCATGCCTTCTGCAGTCTTGATCTTTAAAATATCATTATAAGAGAGAAAGAGGGTATGGCGTGCACCTGACAATGTAATGAGCAATATAAAATTTAAATTCGATTTAATTAAAGATATTTCGAGACGGAACATTAACTCGGTCTGAAAGTCCACTGGGTTCACAGCGGCTCTATAATCAGAGTCCAGAATGTGTTTAAAAGAGGGCTTGAGAGTAAGAGACTGATCAAGCCATAAGGTATTGCAGCAACGCACACGAGGGCCAACGGCGGGATCACCATCAGCCAAGATGACATCGGAGAGTTGAGAGGCCAAGCAATTGAGATGATCGACGGAATCGGCGCTGAAGAAGTTGACAATCTGACGGCGGATCCAACCACGAGAGCCGGCGGCACGGAGGCTGAGCACCACTTGTAAGGACAAGGGTGAAACCACCCTGCCTTCATCTAGTTTTACTTCCATAAGTGGATGGTTTCCCAACAACCCCGATTTGTCGAATACGCCGTGAACTCTCTCATTTTCCCGACCTGCTCTTCTTTTTTTTTGATAGAATCACGACCTGCTCTTCTGCTGCTGCCGTAAGAAGCGGTTTGGTTGAAGGCGACGGAAAGGACACTCCTTTCTCGTAGAACTAATTTACTAATCTAAAAAGATTAAAAAAATAAATTAAGTTAGTTATTTATAATAAATAGGTGTTGTCTTTTTTAAAATATTATTACTAATCAAATATATTGACTGGAACTATTATTATTAAAAGGACTATTTTAAAAAAAATGTATAAATATTATAGACAAAATTGATTAGAATTTTATATTTAGGATCATATAAAAACCAAATGAGATCTTGTATTAATAATCGGAAGTAGTATTTCACCCTTCAAAATCTTCGACTTCGACCCCAGACTCAACTGTTCCCATGTTATGTAAAACTCCGCTCAAATAATAATCTTGCGGATAGCTATGATTTTATTCAAAAAAAAAAACTTACTTTTCTTATGATAAAAGTTAGTGAAATTAAGTAAAAAAAAAAAAATTACCTCCTCAATTTCATGTGAAAACCACATATTAATTAATTTAAAATTCAATAGGCATTTTGTTGTATTTTTTTTAAAAAAAGTTTGCTTTGGACCATTGTACAAGCTACAAATTTCAATCTGCTTTGTATTTGGGAGAATTATAATCAAGTTCTAAAAAAAAATTACTAAAAATTCCTAATAACAACATAAGCAGCTTATAATGATAAGTTTTAAAGTAGAAAATAATAATTTTTGATATTTTTTTATAATAATTATTATTTTTGAAACCCTTGTTGTAATTCTCTTTTTGTATTTTGACTTATAGGAAGTACCGCGCAAAATAAGCTTTTAAGCTTTTCGTAATTTCCCCCCCTTTTTTTTTTTCTTTTTAAGCTTTTGGCTTAATATTATGGATATACAAAACTCAGCCTGTTTGGTTTAAAGAATGCTTGGAAAGAAAATAAATGGAAAAGAATTGAAAGGAAGACAATGAAAATTTTTTGAGCAAATGAATATTTGATTCACACTGGAATTGAAAATGGGTTTCATGAAAAATTCATATTTGGTTGAATGAAAAGAGATAGAAAAATTGAGTTATTTTACTATATAAGCCTTAATGAAAAAATATAATATTATTAAATAAAAATTATTTTTTTAAAAAATAAAAAATGATATAAATAAAAAGAATGCTTTTTAACCTTACACAATAATAATATTATTAAAAAATTCAATAAATTAAATTTTAAATAAATAAATATGAATAGTTAATATAAATATAAAAATACTATACATATTAAATGATTAAAAAATTAAATAACAAAGCATAAGTAAAATATATTAAAAAAAAACACAATTCGAATATGAAAAAGAAATATAAATATTATATAAAGACTATACATGATTTTATTTAGTGAGAATTGTAATTTTTTTTTCAATTTCTTGTTTATATTTTCTCTGACTAAGCATTTTTGTTGTAGAAAAAATTTATATAATATATTTTAAACTGGCCTCGTTTTGTTTTTAAATCATAAGACAACACTAGAAAATAAAAATATATCATACCAAACTTTTAAGAATAGCTAATCAACATCTCAATTTCTTTATTAATTTAAAATATGTTTCCAATATTAAAAAGATATAGAAAATTGAAGAATCACAACTCTATTTCCAATAGAATCTGTTTGCCCAATTTTTCAAGTGATGAACAGAACATAAACAAACCATATAAACAAAATCAATTTAAAGGTTAATTCTTAGTGGACCTATCTTTCTTAATTTAAATACAAATTATGCAAATAACATATCACTGAAATGCGTGCTGATCATAGTTTCTAATGCAACAAAACCCATTGATTTTTTTTTTAATTTTTAAAGTTATGTCTGTTGAAATTTAAAATTTAATATGACAATGAAATAAGAAAACAAATTCAAATTTGATGTAGCAAATTCGAGTCTGGTCCATCAAATTCAAATTTGCTCCACGAAATTCAAATTTCCTACGCTATATTCCAACTTTTGAATGAAATTCCAATTCTGCTATGTTATACTCTGTTTTTTATACATGGAACAGAGTAAATTTTCAAATAAAAAACAATGACATACTATAAACATCCACAACAACTAATTAACATATAATTTATATAGTCATTACAGTCACAACCATGACTAAGCAAGCAAACCGAATCAAACAAGAATTATATATCTGGGGAACAAAGCAAAGGACGGTAGTGTACTGGGTTTGGTATGCAATATATGCCCGGTTTTTTTAACTTGAATATATGCCCAGGTTAAAATCCCAGTTTGATATACTCGATCATCGAAGGAACCCATATACGTGTGTGTGTGTATGAATATACATGTGGCCCACACTTGCCGAAGAGTCTTGGTCCCCTCAACTTCTTCATGCACTAGTCTGCCTTCCATATACTTCAACACACCTACAGTAGAAAATAAATGAAGAAGAGAAGAAGATTGCAAATGAAGCAGAGAATATTCATCATAAATTTTACCACGAAACAAGGCACACTCTAACCGCATCCTTAAATTGACTAATGGTATTCGGGCATACCTGAAGTGTCGAGTAATATCAGATTAGGTAGCTACGCGCGGAATTCCGATCACGGTAATGGAGTGGGAATCAACGTTCACAGCAAATGCACTTTTGTGTTGGAAGAGGAGAGGAGAGACGCTGGCGGGAAGATGAAGACCGGTTGAAAGAATCAGTTTTTCAAACTGATCCTATCTCTTAAAATAAAACTACTGCCCCCGTCTGTCCTTATCCATATTTTGAAGGAAAAATTGCAAATAACCATTTAAGACCCACAGGTTATGTTATTTGCATTAGAGCCCCAAATTTAATAGGCTTGGGCCCAATCCACCAAGGGTGGACTGGCCCATTTTCCTACATCTCCCACTCACACTTGGTGGATTAGGTGTCAAGGGTCTCGTCTCTTTGCCTCCCTTTAGTTTCATACTTAGTGCTTTGCCATGACCGCGTGGGCATGACGTCTTCATTTAGGTGCCTGTACTAGAAATCCTTTTATAGGACCAGCACAAGTTACCTTCTCCTTTTGTGTAGCGCGAATTTTAAAATTACGCCTCAGATGTCCTAGATTTACTTATATACACTTTGTCATGGTAAATCTAATCCCTCTCGAGTCAAAAGTTGACTCAGATTACCTTTCTCTTATATCTAGTATCCACACTTATGACCACAAAATGTCATAAGGGACATGTCACAGACACTAGCATAGGTGTGTATATCACAGTCAATCTTCCTTTCGCCCAAACATCACTTTGAAATGAATCAGTCGCTTTCTTAGCATACTACCTTAGATCGCATCAATCATGACCATAGGACATATGCCAAAGTAGCAGTCACTGAAACATATCTTCATGATATTGTCAAAGTCAAAGGACACCAATAGGAGGATAATTCCTCCCTGGGATTCACACAGCAATGAAGCAGGGATCTTTCACTTGCTTCCCTTTTGCGGTTCTCTCAGCACATGTGGTATGAAACACATGCTACGGTGTTACTCTTTTGTTATAAGAGCGTATGTCGATTTAGATTTATTATTAACACCGTATAGACTTAGGTCCAGACACACTCAGTATCTAAACCCAAATTCTTCAATTCTGCTCATTGTTATGACGTCGACGTTGAAGAGTTTGTTGTCTGGCTACAGGTATTATGGAAGTGGGATTCCAAACTTCGATCCAACTTTATCAACGTGGATCTCATCTTGACTTGCTACACTTTAGTCAAGGCGACATAAAGTTTGTGTTTCTTCTCTACCATATCAGCATTCATTGCTGCTTTACTGGTGAACACAAATGTCTCATCTTTGTTCACTCCACCTGAGTGTCAAAGGTGGTTGCCCGTGTGAGAGAGTCAACCTTTTTAACCTGTACGACATACTAGACATTGTATACTTTCGGACAGACACATAAAGTGATAACGAAATACAATTTCATTAATGAAGCGTTCATATTACACTTTACGTATGCCAAGGGCTTGTACATGTTCTTTAAAAACTTTTTCGCCTATTGGCTTTGTCAGAGGATCTGCTACCATACATTTGGTTGAAATATATTGTACAGTAACAATCTTTTGTGCTATGTAATCTCTAACAAAATTATACTTGATGTCAATATGCTTGGTTTTGCTGTGATACTTAGGATCTTTAGTATAGGCTATGGCTGCAGTATTGTCACAGTATACCATCACCGGATTGGTACTCTCGTTTCCAAATCCAAGGTGTTCTATAAATCTCTTCAGCCATAAAGCCTCTTGCACTGCTGCAGTGCATGCCACAAACTCAGCTTCCATTGAATGTAAGGCAATGCACGTTTGCTTCTTGCTACTCCAACATATGGCGCCATTGTTGAGCAAGAAGGTATAACCTGAAGTTGACCTTCGTTCTTCTTCATCTCCGCCTACATCAGCATCGGAGTACCCAACAAGACGCAGGTCACCTCCTTCGTAGCACAGTGCATAATTAGAAGTTCCCTTTAAGTACCTCAAGATCCTCTTCATTGCTTTCCAATGCTTTTCACCGGGGTTAGACTGGAATCTGCTCACCAGTCCCACTGCATAACAGATGTCTGGTCTTGTACACATCATTGCGTACATCAGACTACCAACAGCACTGGCATATGAACTCTTTCCATCTTCTTTTTATCAGATTCGGTTTTGGGACACATGTCAGAACTCAAAGCCACTCCAGTGGCAACGGGTGTACTCATAGGATTGCAGTCTTTCATGTTAAATCGCTCAAGAATCTTGTTGATATAATTCTCTTGTGAAAGAGAGAGGATTCGTTTTGAACGATTTCTTTGGATCTTAACTCCAAGTATGTACTCTGCTTCACCCATGTCTTTCATTTCAAAATTCGACGAAAGCCATTCTTTAATAGCCACCACCGAATCTAGACTATTTCCGGCTAATAGTATATCGTCTACATATAAGGATAATATGACAAAATTACCCTCAAACCGCTTAATGTAGACGCAGTGGTCTTCCTCTATCATTTGGAAGTCATATGAGGTTATCGCTTTGTGAAACCTCAAATACCACTGTCTGGATGACTGCTTCAATCCATAAATGGACCTTTTGAGTTTACAAACTTTATTTTCTTTTCCTTTTTCAATGAAACCTAATGGTTGTTCCATATAGATTTCTTCATCCAGATCACCATTCAGAAATGCGGTTTTTACATCCATCTAATGTAATTCTAGATCTAAACTGTTTACTATTGCCAAAATAAGTCTAATAGAATTGAAACGCACAACAGGTGAGAACGTATCTTCATAATCTATTCCTTCCTGTTGCGTGTACCCCTTTGCCACTAATCGAGCCTTGTATTTGTCAATTGATCCATCCACTTTTCTTTTAATTTTGAGAACCCACTTGTTCCCAATGGCTTTACGCCCTTTTGGAAGATCAACTAACACCCAAACTTGGTTCTTGTTCATTGAGTCCATTTCTTCTTCCATAGCTTTCATCCATTCATCTTTCGCAGGACCTGACAAGGCTTCTCGTACAGAACGGGGCTCATCATCCCCTTCTGGAGTAACTAAGAGAGATTCGCCTTCTATTTGAAAGCGTCTTTTGGGAACACTTTCCCTGTTACTCCTTCTAACGGGAGCTTTTTGCTTATCTTTCTTTCTTTGTTCAGGTCTTGGTGTTGACCTTTCTTGGCTCCCACTCAGATTGACACACCTAGACGATTCTGGTTTGTCAATTTGTTCTGTACTGTCTTGTTCTTGTGTTTCATAAAGAGAAACGGTACGGTCAACATCTTCTCTATTAGGAAATTCAGTCTCAATGAATATTACATCTCTTGATTCTATTTCAGTCACGGTTCCATCTTCGTTTTCACCTATGAAAACGTATCCCTTTGATTGTTCAGAGTACCTTATGAAGATGCATTTCTTTCCTCGGGGACCCAACTTCCCATGCTTATGAGAAGCATCATGGATATACGCCGCTGACCCCCAGGGTCTCAAGATGCTTAGATCTGGTTTGCGTTTTGTCCATAACTCGTAGGGTGTGGAAGCGACTGATTTTGAGGGTACACGGTTAAGTATGAAGGTTGCCGTTAACAAAGCATCACCCCAATAAGAAATTGGCAGGTTTGCTTGAGCCATCATTGACCTAACCATGTCTAAAAGAGTTCTGTTTCTTCTTTCAGCAACCCCATTTTGTTGTGGAGTGCCAGGGATAGTCAGTTGTCTGATTATCCCTTTTTCTTCACAGAGCTGTTTGAATTGATCAGATAAATATTCACGACCTCGATCAGTTCGTAATGCTTTAATTTTACTGTCCATTTGATTCTCTACCTCATTTATGTATCGTCTAAAGCACTCAAGAGCTTCAGACTTATGCGAGATCAAATAGACATGACCATATCGTGAAAAATCGTCAATAAAGGTAATAAAATACCAAGCTCCGTGTCTTGCCCTCACACTCATTGGACCGCAAATATCAGAATGGATTAATTGCAATGGAGTTTCAGCCGTTTTTCCCTTACTGAAAGGCTTTCTTGTTGCCTTACCAGCTAGACAGTTCTCACATAGTGACATTTCCATATTGGGAATGGCACCCAACAATCCTTCTTTTGCTAGTTTAATCATTCTATTTTGATTAATGTGTCCTAGTCTAGCATGCCAGGTGTTTATGTCAATGTTATTCGAAGAAACAGCAAAGCATTCATTACTATTGAAATCACCAACAATATCTAAAACAAAGAACTTCTTAAACAGGAAAGCTGAACCATAAAGAACAGAGTTGCTAAAAATGTCTGCAACTTTACCATGAAAGTTTACATTAAACCCAAATTCTAACAGACACAATACAGAAACCAAGTTCCGCCGGATGTCAGGAGCATAAAGTACATCATGGAGTATCAAGGTCTTCCCACCACGCAAAGTAAATTTGCAGGTGCCCAAACCTTTAACCTCGATCCTCGCGTTGTTCCCAACGTAAAGCCACTTGCTTTGATACGGCAACCGACGGTACTCGATAAAGGATCCTCGATCCCTGGTTACGTGGTCTGTGGAGCCTGAGTCTATAATCCAAGAAGAAGAAACAGGTTCTGTTAGAAAAACAGTACTAGAAACATATGAAACATGTGAATTCACATAATCCACTAATACCTTTTCGCTCTCAGCCTGTTTTGAACAGTCACGTGCGAAATGGCCCATTCTCTGGCAGGCGAAGCATTTGACCTTCTTCAGGTCTAGCTTCTTCTTCCCACCTTTCTTTTCCTTCTTCTTGAATTGCTTCTTTCCCTTTTTGGATTGAGGACCACCCTTCTTCCCTTTCTTTTGAAACTTCTTGCCCTTCTTGGAATCGGGCCTTGATTGGGAAGTACCGGCATCCTCGGTGTAATAAGCTTGTCCAGAGGTCTTGTAAGCCTCTAAACGTTCATCCTCCAGCTCCAAGTGTTTGGCTACATCGTTAAAAGTAACGATGTTTTCATTATGGGTCAGGTTGACTTTCATGTGTTCCCAGCTAGCAGGAAGCGATCTGATAACAGCCTGCACTTGCTGTTCATCAGACAGGACATGGCCTGCTTCCTTAAGTTCTCTGATCATGTTGGCCATCTCTCTCAAATGTTGTTTCATTGGATTGTTTGGCTTGAGCTTATAGGTGTCGAACTTAATCGTCAACCTTCTAAGTTTAGTGGTAGAAGTACCACCAAACTTGTCTTTAACGCTATCCACATAGCCTGTGCAGTTTTGTGCCTCTCAAACTCGCACATAATGTCATCAGCCATGGCACTCAGAAGCGTAATTCTTGCTATGCTGTTTTTCTTCTTCCACACTAGGTAAGCCTCTTGGTCTCTCCTATGTTGGGCCGTATTCCCAACTTCAGGCTCGACCATTGCAGTGGTTAAAGGTTCAACCGCATCTTGTTCCTCCAAGATGTATTGAACCTTTCGGTGCCATATGTCCCAGTTATCCCCGTTGAGCTTTTCTCCCTTATTAAGCTCAGCAATTATGTTCTTGGTTGCCATTTTTAGTTCTGAAGCAAATTTATCCCACATTATTCTACGTTCTCTCTAAAAGAGACGTACCATAGAACATCTTAGTTATATATAGCACAGCGAAGTATACAATGTCTTGTACTTATATCATCCTTGATCAGAAAGTAATGATGCTGCAAGATCCATGATCAAGAGCATACGTTTGTACCTCCCATCACACAGATACAAGCAACAAACATTATTTCCTATCAAGGATTTTATATAAGCACTTCAAAAAAAAAATTATGACTCTTAGAAGTCTTATCTTCTAAAAGCTCCCACTTATAAAAAGCATACACATACTATTCACAAGATAATCATATAACAACAATTCAAGTAATTTCATTAAATGAAACAACATATTTAGTCTGTTTACAATGCATGAAACCATAAAAAAACTTAATACAACAAATATTAATAAAGCATATGTAAATATTACATTATTTGATATGCACATAAAGGTAATTAAGCATTGCTTTTCTTAGGCTCCTGAGTTTGCGTTTTTTGTTCATAAAGGAGGATACTAGCTCTATGGCCCAAATCCAGTAAGACTTTCTTATGGGTTTGCCTTTAGGTCCGCCTCTAACCCTTATCGCTCTTATGTACTCCATTATGACTTTAAGGTAGAATTCGGTATTCTTCTTATCGGTCATGTATTGGATGTAATTCGCGAGCACGCCATTGATTCCTTTTATATTTGTCAATTTTGCTGCATCTGTCTCAGCTATACTCATAGCTAATGCGGGGGTCAAAGGTTGGTTCACCTCTTCTCCTTCCTCAACTTCAATTTCATTAGGGAGATCCCGTGGATCTTTATAGACTAATTGAGGTGCGATAGGGAGGGGTTCAGTGGGGAACATAGTTTTCGACTCAGGTCCGGAATCCACTAACTCCTCTGGGTCTTCTTGAGGAACCTCTTCAGGGTCCTCCTCAGGATCCTCATCCTCAGGTTCATATTCTGGAATTCCATCACCTAAGAATGAATATTCCAATGAACTATGATCGGTATTTTCAGTGCTACTAGAAGCCTCTTGCTCCATTTTCACCTAGAACAAAATAATATAAATTATTTTGAATATTCTGGAATTTTTATCCACATAAAAACACCAAAAACGCACTAAAATACTCATAAATGGATCCTAAATTGTCTCTAAAATTATCAAATTATATATTAAAATGAAGATCCTAATTTTAGGGATTTTTAGAGACAAACCACACCCCAATTGGACCATTCACGCGCCTACACGCGCCCCTAGAAGGAAGAATTAGCGAAAAATTTAAAAAAAATCTTCGCCCACTCTCGCTGTCGGCGCGTGTACGTCACGCGCCGCCATGGAGCTGGCCGCCGAGGACACGCGCCGTTCCGGCGGCCCGCACGCGCCACCACCTTTCAGGTGGTGGTGTCCACGTGTCGAAGAGGTGTGCCACGTGGCGGCACGCGCCACGTGGCAATTCTGGGAATTTTTTTTAATTATTATATATTTTTATATTTATATTTATATTTTTTTTGTTTTTTCGGGTTGGGCTTGGTCGGTCCTATCCGGATCCGGACCAAGCCAGCCCAACCAACGCATCCGCCCCGCCTCGTTTTTTTTTGTACGACGTCAAAACGACGTCGTTTGGGGGGCTGGAGGTTGTCTTCAACCTCCAGCCGGGTCTACCGACCCGGTTTTCGTCGCGGGTCGGGTCCGTCGGACCCGGATTATTCTCTCCCCCATATGTCCTCCGTCTGACGTCCCTTCTTCGCGTTCTTGGTGTCATTTTCTTCGTTTTTCCGAGCTCTACGCAATGGGATAATTTTTGAAGCCTAAAACCTTCATTTTTTAGACACCCAAAACGAAAAACTTCACTGTGCAAAAACGGGTCTCTTTCATCATGAATTTCATGCTTTTAAACCTACGTTTTTACCGTTTTTAGATGTTTTTAATTGTTTTCGGTCATCTCCCATGCAGAATACTATCATATAATTGTTGGAGACAACAAACAAAAAAAAACTCTCACATCCGACGTTCATGGAAGCGAAAAAAAACTATTAAATAACACAGAATCATCATAAACAACTATCATGCTGAATATAAAGAGAAGATTTGCTTAATATCTGAGAGCAAATCACTGAAGTGGGAATGAAGTGCCAAACCGTGAGGCACACAACAAAAAAAAAAAAGAAAAGAAAACGCAGAAGGTGGAACAGGGCAGCGGAAGAAATAGAGGAGGCTCTGATGCCAATAATGGTATTCGGGCATACCTGAAGTGTCAAGTAATCTCAGATTAGGTAGCCACGCGCAGAATTCCGATCACAGTAATGGAGTGGGAATCAACGTTCACAGCAAATGCACTTTTGTGTTGGAGGAGGAGAGGAGAGACGCAGGTGGGAAGATAAAGACCGGTTGAAAGAATCAGTTTTTCAAACTGATCCTATCTCTTAAAATAAAACTACTGCCCCCGTCTGTCCTTATCCATATTTTGAAGGAAAAATTGCAAATAACCATTTAAGACCCATAGGTTATGTTATTTGCATTAGAGTCCCAAATTTAATGGGCTTGGGCCCAATCCACCAAGGGTGGACTGGCCCATTTTCCTACATTGACCAATAGAAGTAAACACTATCCCTAACATAAACCTAAACTCTTTGCACAACTCCGCTAGATTATAGTTTTGGGTTGTTCACTGTTCTCTTATCCTCTTCTTGACCTTTCACCTTTATCAATTTCCTCTTTAAGTCATAATCATATAACAAGGCCAAGTTATTCTCCTACCCTGCTTCAACCATGTTATTCTGTATTTTTCATTAGGTTCGACTATTACAAAATGTGAACTATCCATAACTTCTCCTAACACATCAATGACTCACACATCCACATATTGTGAAAAATAATAATAATCAATATGCTCTTTTTTTATGTTCTCAAAGTCGGAGAAGTAGACCTTGAGTTAGTTTGACTCTCTTCCTCCTCATTACTCTCACCATTATTAGTTCTGTCTTCCTTCTTATTACTCTCACTATTGCTAATTCTCTCTTACTCCCTAGTTATAAGCATCGCAAGATCATTAACTAAAACAGAACATAATGCAAAGAAACACAATACAAGAATAATCACAACAGTACCACATTTCAAACAAAAAAACAAAGCACATGGCAAATAAAGCAAAAACATATTCATTTTCAATAAGAATATCATAAAGGATTAAGCAATCAAAATAATGAACAGCAATGCAAAGAAATCACACAAAAGTTGTGATCATGCTAAGATCAACTGGTTGCCATATTCATTTAGCAAAAACAAAGCCATATATACAGCAAATGCACCACTAAAGAAGAACAAGCACCCAAGCAATTATTAGGTTCAAAACAAGCGCACACTACAGCTCAAAGAAAAAGGCATATGGGTAATCAAAGCTAACAATATTAAATCAAACAAGCAATAAAACAAAAAATTTCCGCTCTCATAATTCTACTTCTCTAGTCCACTCTTCTACTCTTCTCACACAGCACAGGTTAACCAACAATGCACATAAGAGAAATTAGTTCCTTACCTTTCATCAAACAAAAAGCTGACCGTAATGTTGGGTGTACGATCTTCGCTTAATGGTCATCGGTAATGTTGGTCCACTTGATCTCACCCTCCCCCCCCCCCTTTTTTTTTTAATCATCAATTAGTCAGCATCCTTTCTCAATTGTGTTGTCTGTGTTTTTAAGTAAGCTACTCTTTTTTCTTTTTTTGCTCTAAATTAAATGTCCAGGTTATCCTTCCCATCCTCATGCCATATAAGTAGGTAATGTTGCTTAATGACTAGCCATATCATCCAAACTAATGTTGGTTGTGCCACTTTAGCAAAATTTAACAGTTTCACTACTAAGAACTAATGTTTTAAAATATATTAAATTTAAATGACTAGAAACACAAATCTTAAATTCCAAGGATCAAAACCAAAATAGAGCTAACGAGGGACCAAAATTTGTATTAAACCAAAATTAAATATATAATCAAATTTTTAAAATGTAAAATATGAAATAAAACAAAAATTCAATTCTGCTATTTGATAAAATGTTATAATACATTGAAGTATCATTTTGAAATTTTTAAATGTTGTGAAACGAGGCCACTATCCATGCACTTTTGCTAACTACTTTTGTTTAGTTGTTAACTAATTTTGTTTTCAAAGTTTTGGATCACTTTTGATTAACTATTGACTATTTTAGTTTTGATATTGACTACTTTTGTTTTTAGAGCTTTGGTGACTACTCTTGTTTAATTATTTATTATTCTAATTTTACTATTAACTATTTTTATTTCTCAAAAGTAGTAATTGGAGCTCCTAATACATTTATCAAATTTTTGAAACAGATCTTTGGTAGCTCCTAATGCATCTTTTGAATTATTGAAACAAAAGTAACCAATAGGAAAATTAGAGTAGTTAATAATTAAAACAAGAGTAGTTAAATCAATAGTAAAACTAGAGTAGTTAATAGTTAAATAAAAATTGTCATTGAAACTATAAAAATAAAAGTAATTAACAGCTAAATAGTAGTAGTCACTAGAGCTCTTGTTGTCTAAGGGGTCACCTTAGATAGAGTTCTTGTAGCTAGACTCCGAGTAGTGATGCTTAGGTGGCTTTAGAAAAAAAAGAAACGAAAAAAGTAAAAGGCAATGGTGTCGTTTCGCAACATTTCAAAATACAAAAATAATATAGAGTTTCTGATTTGATATTTTGAAATTCAATCTCCTCTATTTGCCATTTAGTATTAAGGGTGTTTTACTGTAATTTTTCCTCTTTACAAAGTAAACATAAGAAAACAATTGTAATACAATTAATGAATGTGAAAAACCTTTCTCTCATTGAAGAAATAATTAAATAAATAATTAGATGGAGGAATCTATCAAATAGAAAGATAATAAATAAATGAAAGAACAATTCATTTCAATTTAAATAATGAATATGCAAACCCATAAATAAGCAGATGCAAACAAATGAGTGCTAAATTATTAGTAAATTATGCCAACAATAATAATTATTTAATAGATAATAATAGTATATGCAGGACAAAAATACCGAAGTTTGACAAAACAGTTTACAACCTAGAATTCAGTGAATGGAATCCATAATTAATAATTGTATTGTTAAAGAAAAAGAATTGACTTAACAATTAAATACATAACTACATTTTAAAAAGCCACAATATAAACAATAATGGAACAAAAATTTAATTATATTGTTTGAGAAAAAATTATGCCAACAGAAAATTAAAAATAAAGTATTAAATGCACCCTAAACGTATTAAATGCATTCTAAATCTTCAGGCAAAGACTCTAACAAGAACATTAACAAGTCTAACACATTAATGAGTCTACCAGATATAAATAGAAGTGCGTTTAAGATGGAAAAAAGATTTTCCGTGAGAAAAACACACAACTCCTCATAGCTGTTCACTATTTATTCCTTTACTGTTGTTGTATTAGCTATTATTATTTGGGCTACTCTTTGTACTTCAGTGAGAAACAGAATTCGATATATAGAAAGAGTTACTCAGGGTATTAAGACATTGAAGAATTGGTTACATTACATGTGGTAGAAGAAAGATGAAGGTTTCCAGGCACCCAATTAAACTTGGAGTAGTGGTTTTCAAGTATCTATTGAAATTTGAGAGTGATTATGGATTCACTGGGGCCCAGATCAACGAATGAGACTGTAGGTTCTCAAGTACGTTATGAAACTTGAGGGAATATATATTTGGCAACAAAAGCTCATTTGAATATGGGAGATTAGTGGATTTATAATTTCAAGAGTGTTTGAGGACTGAAAATAGGTTAGTGGAAAGATCGAACTATGAGAAATTGCCATGTGATTCTTTTATTTGTTTTTTTTTTCCCAAACCAAAACGATAAAATCTGTTGGTCATATCTCTGTCTTATCTATTATTTAGTTATGCAATTTAGTTTAGTCATTTTTTTAAGTTTCCATTAATTTTTTAATCACTCAATTTATCCCCTCTTAAATATAAGTTGCCACTAACAAAGTAACATTAGAATGCCTAAAATCGAATATAAGTAAACAATATTAATAATAAAAAATATTTCTAAAATAAGTCATGCATAAAGAAATTTTTTGTCATGATTCCTTTGAAATAATGAAGTAGTCTATGTTGCTAGCTAGGTTTTTTTCCTTGACTACAATACATTTATCTTCATCAAATATCCTTATTTCTAATGTTTTGCCTAATTATTGTTAAAAACCATAAAAATAATTAATTTTTATTAAAACTTTTAAAAAGTAAATAATTCTTTTGGTAAAATAATCAAAAATTCCCTCTATTTTTAAATATAATAATTTTATAATTAATTTACATAGATTAAAAAATTAATTAAATTAATTATACGTAACAAATATGTATTAGTTTCAATTTTTTAGAAGTCACACCAAAAGTCAAATAAAAAAGGTCAGCTATTCATGGTTCTCATGGTCTGTGATGTAATAATTAAATAAAATTAATAAAAAACTTATATGCATATAAAATAATATATACAACATAGAAAAATTGCAACTACTCCATCAGAAATTCGATAATTAGTGAATAATCGTTTCGTCTTTTATTGCCATCCTTTTCTGGGAAGGAAAGTATTGGTCTAATCCTCGGTGGGGCCGTCTTGTTCTGCATTTTTTGTTTTATCATTATTTTGTTATGTTATTAGGTCAAAAAGCCATTTAAGCCCCCAAAAAAATAGAAGGAGAGGAAGAAAAAGAATTATTTCATACTTTCTTTATTTTATTTGACAGAAGCAGTAATTATTTAAAATTTAAATTACTACAATTAAAATTTATTTTTCCTTTCTTGGATGTACGACCAATCATGCCAAACATTCCAAACACGACCTTCTCGTCGTAAGTGAATGTATGCACCTTTAATCTTTTATAAAACAAAATAAAAGTGCCTCATGCCTTATCTTGCATGACCTATGATTTTAGAAGCTAACAAATAAAAAATAAAAAATAATTAAAAGTAAGATTTATTTCTTTATTAATATTGGGCAAAAATATACTTTTAATATTTTAAATTTATATAAGGTTTCAGTTTTATTCCTTAATTTTAAAAATTATATTTTTAATTCTTTAATTTTAAATTATTAACACAAAAATGATAATATTAAATTTTAAATATTGATAAAATATTTTCCAATACTAACATATTAAATTTAATTTTTAAAACAACTATAATTATTGCAAAAAATATTATTTAATATTAATAATTTTAAAATTAAAAGACTAAAAGATATTTTTTAAAATTAAATACCATCACCTAAACCTTTCATTGTCATGGTAATTTTCTTGGTGGCTTCGGTTGAGAGCATATTCTTGTCGTTCCTTTCTTTACACGCCTCTGTCTCTCAAGTCTGTGAGTGTTCAGCCACCTCAGTCCAGAGCATCTCACCGAAGATCCTTTCGCTTTTTTTTCACTTTCAGAAACTATATATAAAGCCACCTCAAGCCAAGCAGACCCCATGATGCGGTAGATCTTCTTCGACCCTCCTGATTCTCTGAATCGTCCTTCAATATTTGTCTCTTTCTCCTTTTCCCCCTGTTTGCGCTTTTTAGCAACCAAAACATGAAGTTGGAGAACTCAAACGGAGAGATCTTCGCCGAAAACAATGCCTCTGAATCCCTTGTCAGCTTCGCCAATGGTCTTCAATCGCCAAATTCTGCTACGGCCAATGGGGCCGATGTCGATAAAGATGGGGAGGAGATATTCGTGCCTCCTCTGAACTTCGCCATGGTCGATAATGGCATTTTCAGGGCGGGGTTCCCTGATTCTGCCAATTTCGGATTCTTGAAATCTCTTCGCCTCCGCTCGGTTATGTGAGTTCCATTTCTGTTTTCATTTTGCTTTGTAACCGAAATTGCTGTCGTTCTTCATTTTGTTTTTCGGGTTTTTGGTTTTGATTCGGTTCGGATTTTGCTCAGATGTTTGTGCCCTGAACCGTATCCAGAAGCGACTTCCGAATTTTTGAAGGCTAATGGAATAAGGCTCTATCAATTTGGGATCGATGCCTTCAAGGTCTTGAATTGTTTCTGGTTTTAATTACCACCGCTGACCTTTTACCCCCAATTATGTTGTCTGTTTGTTAGTAATTAAGAGAATTGGTTGCTTCCATTATGTTTGCTTGATGCTTCTGAAATCATCCGACTCTGTTAACAATAGTGTAGGAATGCATCCAGGTGCTTTGCTGATAATTTGCTATTTCCCATGCATAAGTGCTATGACATTTTAAATGTGAGGTTGATTCATTTGGATACTACCAATCAGTCTAATTGATGAGAACATTAAATGTAACAAGGGGGGAAATTATTAGATTAGTACAGCTTAATTTGGGCATTAAGAGTCATATGTCTATGTCCAACTACTCATCATTCATTCATGCGAAAGTTAGATATATCAATGACAACGAACTAAATGACAGTAGTTCTCTCTTAAAATCCAGCGTTTAGCTTAAAGATTGTTGATTATTTACTTAGTTATATTAGTCACCAGGTGCCAATGTGGAAACAAACGAAGAAGACAACCTTGTAAAATTATATCATATTAAATGATTCTGCAATAAGAAAGTTGCTAGGAGCCAAGGACACCTTCCATTATTTAATCCAAATCAAGAAAACAAAAATTCTATGTTTGACATTATAATAGTTTTGTTGCTCCGCCAAACTATAATATTTAGGTGATGGTGTTTTATTTTGTTTTGTTACATGTCTGTCTAGTTGTGCACATAGCAATTGCTTTCCCTTCAAAATGTAGTAATCACAATTTTATCAAAGTAACAAATATTGCCAAGTAATTAGCATTCTGATTTCTAATTAATCTCTGTATCTTGTGTTTTGTTTTAATTAATCACCATATTAAGTGGATTTGATCTGTCTTTGTAACATGTGAATTTTTTTGTGCACACTGAATGTTTTTCTTTGCAAATGTCGCCATTAAAATCAAGATAATTAATATCGTGAAATTGCTAGTGCCTGTTGTGAAGTTGATCTCAGTACTTCTTTTTTTTTTTTTTCGAATGAAAAATTTATAGGCATCGTCATTGTGATTGTGTTCAACTATTTGAGTGAAAAATACTCATCTCTCTCATTGCTCAAATTATTATGATGCTTTCAGATGTTTCTAAAAGAATGCGTCTTATATCATATATTGGAACAGATAAATAAACTTAAGCAAAATACTTCTCCTATATCAAAGGACTATATTGGTTGTAAGAGGCGTAAATTAACGTGTCCAGTCATTTTTTTTTGGTCCAATTTTTCTTACTTTTACCATGAATGTGTTTCTTAGTTCACTTTTGTTGGTTCCTTGATCATTTCGTCCTTTAGAAGAAACAAGGTAATACGACCATCTTTATTACAGTGATGGGCTAACACAAGAAAGATAGGGAACAGAGAGAATGGAGGGTTATTTGTTACATTACATGGACCCTATATTCAGTAACTGTGGCAGACTTTTGTGGTTGGCTATGATTATGGAGTACCCATCTATTTCCAGCACCAGGCCATCCTTTTGTGAATTTACTTCTCTGTATTAGATTGTTGAAATTAGACTTTTGTGGTTCTCTGGTAACTGATATTTTCTATTCTGATGTCCTTCAGTATAGCTCTGGAAGTACTTTTTGACCTGCATTCTGTCCTTCCTTATCATTTTCATATTCTCCAACATGTGAATTCTTTTATTCCAACTTCATTTTTATTGAAGAGCTTAACTTGAACTTGTATACCATTGCCACATACGGTGAAAGGGTTTGCTGGTTGATTGATCACGCATTGTGGCCAGATTTATGTTCGTTAATTGAAAAGGAACCATGCTGGTGCTTGTTACTTTCAAACAGGGTGATTATTTGACCAAGTAGATCAGCCGCCATACCATGCAAGTCTAGGAGAATGAGATGAGTAGCTTATGTATGAGCTATTTTCAAAGCAGTTGACCTTGGCTTACAGAATTATATTATTCTAAATGGTCATCAATGGTAGTTATCTTCTTTCCAGCTTCCCTTGCTTGGTCCATCCAGTTTCTCATAATTTTCTTTACCCGAGATCAAATCCTGTGTCAGGAATTACAATTCCTGTATTGGACTTGCATTCTCCCTCACTCTTGTTCTCCTCACAATCTTCTGTCAAATGGTATAGAACGTTTATGCCCACCCTGGGGATCCTTCAGCTGTATTTATCTCATGTAATGTATCCTCTTTTAGATATTTCCTTTTTTGATGGCATCTTCTTGGCAGCAAATGCCAGGAAAAGGGGAAAAGTTGACTAACCTGGGAGTATATTGCTGTATAACTTCCTAAGAATTATGCTTTTTTCTTTTGAAAAAAAAAAAAAAATCTATTACTGAGCTGTAATTGATACCAGAAAGCTCACGTGACTTGATGGACTGATATGTAAGAAAACACATGTATCCTTCACTTTGTTAACATTTTTTGTGGGCAGGAACCTTTTGTTAACATCCCAGAGCATACGGTGCGTGAAGCGTTGCAAGTAGTACTTGGTATAACTTCACTTAAACTTCATTATTATATCCTCTGTAAAGTAGGAAAGCTTGTTCAGATATTTATTTACTTTAATCATGTCTGTAAATCTCGCTCCAGATGTTAGGAACCACCCGGTGCTGATTCATTGCAAACGAGGAAAGGTAAGCTATGGATCTTTTCTTTTACACTTCTCTTATTTGACCTAGATTAATCATTAATGTTCTCTGCTTTTACCACGAGCAGCATCGCACTGGATGCATAGTGGGATGCTTAAGGAGATTGCAGAGATGGTGTCTATCATCTGTATTTGATGAGTACCAAAGGTTCGCTGCTGCCAAAGCTAGAGTGTCTGATCAGAGGTTTATAGAATTGTTTGACATCTCTAGCTTGAAGAACAATCCAATGTCTTTCTCATGCTCAAAGAAGTAGAAACATTGGCCTATTTGAGAAAGCTATGGCTTCCTCCATGGAAACTTTCCGTGATGAAGAGAAGACTGAAAGTTGCCTTTTTCTCTGTCTTTTTACTATTATCTTGGTGAATTTGAGAGTAGATTTTAAGTTGCAATGTTATGTTCCGTTTCTTAAGATTCGCTGTTACTTTGGTCGTACGTGTGGTATCCTCAATGTGGCATTTTTGTGCCAAGATGAACCGAGTGATTTGATGATGATTTTACAACTTCCAATTTATATCAGCTTAGATTTAGCTTTTGTGACTTCAATTTTTGCACGTCATCTTCACCACCCAACTCAGCGCTTGCTTTATACCCTGCTGGCCAGGCTCTCTTTTTCCCTTTCTATATTCACGATACATATTACAAAAAATACACTATAAGCATAAGTGTTTCCACATTTGGTGTGTAGGTTTTCAATTGAGGAAATGTATGAATTGTTGCAACTAATTCAGTGTTTTGTAACACAATTTGTGTCAAACTCATAAAGATGTCATTTGGATCACATAAAATGACTAGATATCAGATCGTCTTTTTTAGCTTAAAGTTCAAATATAATTATATTACATTGTGCAAGTCTATTTTATGTTATATTGAAGGAAGTATGACTAAAATAAAGTTGATTCCATCATGAATATCAATATAATGCGTACCCCAAACTTCATCTTCATAAGAATAATGTGGCTCATAAATTAAAACGAATCTATCTGTTTCTCCTTTCTTGCTTTGGCTTCTTGGTTTTTGTGGATGAGCCAATTTGAATATCTTAGTATCATCTTTCGATGGATGAGACATGATTGGTGTACATCCTATCTTCCATGTGTATCATTTTGATTATTGTTGAGGTTTCCTTCTTCTTTTTGAAATAAGCTATTTTGCTCCTCTTTTCCTTCAGTAGAAATCCTCTGAGATAGTTTTTCCCTAAAATTCTGGTTTAGTTGTCATTTTCTTGGAATTGTATCTATCTTCAAGAGCACCAAAAATTCTTTGGCACTATTGCAATGCATCGCCCTTGCCAAGCTCTCATCTTTAAAAATCAAGATGCCAAATAGTGATTATTTGAAAATTTTGTTATAAAATTTTGCTAGCATCAAAGCATCGTATCTAATAATTGCTAGTCTAGTTGAAATATTATTGCAAATAAAATGATACATTGTATGCTTGTGTATGTTATGTGATGTGGCGTCTATATAATAGATAATGCTTAATTATGGCAAATAATTATTTAAAGCAAAAAGAATAAAAATAAAGATGCCAAATAGTGATTATTTGAAAAAATTGTTATAAAATTTTGGTTATCCACACTATAATGAATAATTTCATTAAGAGAAACATTATATATTAACAATACTACCAATAATAAAGAATATCAAATGTTCAAATTAAATAGTAATTCGTGCCTTTAGTATAAAATCTAGTTTGTAGTTCAAATTAAATTACAAACAACTATCTTTGGTCTTTAATATAAGAACTAGTTGACTAATTTGAGTAGATTAAGAAAATTGATTTATTTATTTGTAATAAATAGGTGTTGTTTTTTCTAAAATATCCTTACTAATTATGTGTATTAGCTAAAATTACCATTTGATAAAATCTTTAGCATGTACAACTACTACAAGGGCTATTTTGGAAAAAAAAGAATAAATATGAGAGATAAAGTGGATTGACATCTTATATTTATACCAAATTAAATATCAAACTAGTTTTTATATTAAAGACCAGATATAGTATATCTTATATTGAAGACTAGGTGTAGTATTTTAAAATTCAATACTCAAACTAGGTAACATTCTCCAAAACTTTTTGCGTAGTTTTCTTTAAGAGATTTACCGATTCAATTTAACCGAATCAGTTTGTTTGAAATGGCTCCCCCAACCCACAAAAATTCTTCAAAGTGAAATTCTTAAAATACCTTTGAGAAAAAAATAAAGAAGGCTTGGTTTTCCAAATTAAAAGTCCATTTTTGCTCTCTCTCCCCCCGTCTATATATATATGTGTGTTAAGAATAAAGCTATTCAGCCCAATATGTAAAGACTACACAAGACATCTCTGAGAAGTCGAATCCTAGCCATTAGAAAATAGGAGTAAGATTTGACGAGTTTGATAGAGTGGGATGGCTTGCCATTGCCGTTTTGCTTTAATTGCAATACTCTCATTTTAGCATAAACAATAGCTGATAATATAAAAAAAAAAAAAAGAGACAATGGCCAACTCTCGTGCCCTTGTTCTCTCTGGAAGATCATCAATGTTGGTTCCTTCTTCTCAAGAGAAGGGTGACCTCTTAGCTTAGAGTTCAAAGAAGATTAAGAATATGATTAGAAAAAAAAAAGAGACAATCTTCTCTAAGGCAACT